ATTTTTCTTCTCATTTTGTCTCTCATAGTTGAGGTATACCTATGATGAAAATTACAGGCCTCTCTCATCTTTTTAAGTGGGAGAACTTGCACAATTGGTGGCTGACTAAATACTTTTTTGCCCCACTGTAGGTGTAGTGGGAAATTGACAGGACCAAAGGATTATTTTGGATAGATTGATTTATTGTTTCTTTCTAGGCCTACAAGGCAAACCTTGGACTTTTATTACATGCGTGGTGTACAGTACATAATAACTTACTTCTTTCGGTAATTATTATGTAGACTACATTCCTGTGTGCATTTAAGCATTAAAATGCCATTCACCAAAAATAGCTATGAAACATATTTTTCTTTGAGGGTCATATTTCCATAATTCATGACAAATTGATTCTGAAGCAGAGGAAAATTTCAGCAGTTTGTGAAAAAGAAAAAAGGTCTTACTAGGCTAGCACATACTTTTTAATAAGACTGTGTCTGGAATTCTATAGCACTTGCTTTTATGCGATTTATTTCTGTATAGAAATATATAGTCATCCCCCTCCTTTTAATCTTCTGCATTGACCAGTGAGATTTCAACAGCCTTTTTTCAGTTTTGTATTTCTGATTCTGTCTAAAATGCTACCAACTTTCATTGGTATGTGATAATTGATATAAATTAATAGATTAATGTATATAAATTATCACATACCAATGAAAGTTGGTAGCGTTTTAGGCAGAATCATTTAAATACTGAAATAAATTTAGTAAGTGCATATATAACGGGAAATTTAAGATAAGATCGGAGCTATCCATGATGCATTTCTTAAACAATCCATTCTTAACATTAGAAAAAAAGCAGATTGAAATGCCATCCTACATCCTGCTTTTGATGGTTGGAAAGGAGAGCTAGGGTCTACTTTGGTTCATTTCTGGTGGCCTATTCCAAAAAAAAAAACTTTGAGTGGGAGGTAGGTACATTTTGTAGCAGAGATTCCATGCTAGGTCTTAATGAACAGTAACTACCCAAAAGCTTCAAAACTAGACATTTTTAGGATTGGGGGAGGAAATAACTCATACATCATCCTGCTGTAGATTCTATTGACAGACTACTTTTCTGCTGAATTGTATTTTTATGGAGCCAGATTTCTGCAGCTGATTCGGGGGGGGAAAAAAAAGTGGATTTAAGATGGTTGATAGCAGATAGATGACCATGTAGCATATTAGGGATTTTTTTTTTTCACAAAGGTAAGAATTTGTATCTGAAAGGTTTTCTGTCATTAACTTATGTAGTATATCAGCAGAATAACAATAGTCTATCTCACCTCCTGAACAGACTCTGAGTAAAACTTTTGTTGAAAGTCAGTTCTGCAGTAGTATGCAGTTGTTTCTCAAATCATAGACATTAGACTTTAACCTAATAAGTTAATCATGTTATGTGATTACAAACTAATTTGTGATTTTTTTCCAGATTGGAAAAATATCTAAAAATAAAAAGAAGAAACTTAAAAAAAAACAAAAGAGGCAGGCTGAGCTACTAGAAAAGCGTTTGCAGGAAATAGAAGAACTTGAACGGGAAGCTGAAAGGAAAAAAATAGAAGAAAATGTAACATCTACTATACCATCCAATGAACAAGAGGATGAATACCATCCAGAAGTTAAACTAAAAACTGTAGAGTTAGAGGAAGTGGCAGATGAAGAACCTGGGAATGAAGATGGTAAGTTTGTTTGTTTATTAAATTTATTTGGCCACCATCTCATATACATGACTCTTGGAGGCTATATGTATATGTACATGTACATGTACATGTTTGGTTGCTTTATTTTTCTGTGGAATGTACATTATGTCTAGAGAGGCTGATGCAAGGATGATATAGTACCGTCTATAAAAAGAATCTGGAATTAGACTGTGACATTTGTGGGCAACAGCACACTCAGTAACCCATCCCATGGCCCTACTAGGCTCTGTGTCCCAACAAATGATGATGATGATGATGATGATTCTAATTCAAAAAAAGGACAAGCCAGCATACGGCTGAGGAAAGTGCTAGCCTTCAGAATCACATTTATTCCAAGAACATCTCTTGATCCCATGTACACAGTCAAGACATTCTTTGAAACTAAAGATATGGGTGGCCTCAGCCCTAGTGTTTTGATTGGAAGCATGCTCACCCAAAACATGGTAAGGAGAAAGTAGTCAAGTAGCAGGTGGATTTGTTTGAGAATATCATAGGGATATTCTCAACCTCACAAGTTTCTTTCTGTAAATGGGTTTTTTGGAACTGCCCATATATCCCCGTGGTAGCCATTTTGTAAGAATGTCCATAACATTGGAGATCCTTGTTCTAGACTATTGTTAAAAATATTTTGGACAGAGCAAGGGAAAAAAAAAGTATTAAACTAGTTCCATGACTTTAAGAAGATTTTAAATGCAGTCATTTGTAGGATTTGGTGAGGATTTATCAAGCAGCATAGCCTTATAGATGAGAAGTCAGCAAGATGGCAAGAGGCAAGCAGTGTGTGTTCTTCTCTCTGGCTGACCTGGGTCTGTAATGTTTTACCACTCTTTTCATTTTTCTTTCCAAATGGCACCGTAATTCTTTTCTGATTTGCTTTTGGATCTTTGAAGTGCTAATCTTCAGCTATTTGACAGCCTTAAAAGAAATGTGATAGGATCAGCCTGGGGTGACAGATTCCCACCTGATATGCTAAACAATTAAAAATAGATGATACGGTAACATCCAAAGTGTACTAAGATCTTTATTTATGCCTAGCAAATTTGCAGTGCTCCAGCTGAATAGTGTGGATTCTCTAATAATGGATGTTTGGGAGGTGTGGGACAGCCCAGGAAGATTAAAGGTGGGCACTAACAGCTGCTTCCTTGGATAATCCCATTTTAACCCAAGAGAGGATTTCCGAACATAAGCCTTTACCTGATACTGCTGTCAAACAGTTTTTCTCACCAGTGAGTGACCTCTTTTCTTCAAACAACTACCATATTTTTCCAACAATAAGACGCCCCCATGTACAAGACGATCCCCACTTTTCCAACACAAAATTAGGAAATCAATATTTTAAAGATAGTGCAGAACACATTTTTATTTAGTAATTAGTTAACATTTACCTGATACACTCGGTGGGAGGAGTCTCTGCAGCTCTATTTCCAGGCTCTTTTGCATAACTGGTTACATTCAAGCACGAGTGAAACTGCCGATAGCTTGTCTCTGCAAACAGACTTCCTCCAATTGGTTTGTTCAGCATCAGTTGACATCAATTACATCAGGCTCGTGATTGGAGGAAGTCTGTTTGCAGAGACAAGCTTTCGGCAGTTTCACTCGTGGTTGAATGTAACCAGTTATGCAAAAGAGCCTGGAAATAGAGCTGCAGAGACTCCTCCCACCGAGTGTATCAGGTAAATGTTAACTAATTACTAAATAAAAATGTGTTCTGCACTATCTTTAAAATATTGATTTCCTAATTTTGTGTTGGAACAGTGGGGATCGTCCTGTACATGGGAGCGTCTAATTGTTGGAAAAATATGGTAGTTGTTTGAAGAAAAGAGGTCACTCACTGGTGAGAAAAACTGTTTGACAGCAGTATCAGGTAAAGGCTTATGTTCGGAAATCCTCTCTTGGGTTAAAATG